AGAGCCTGCTTCTGCCTCTCTCTCTGCCTACCTCTCTGCCTACTTGTGCTTTCTCTCTGTGTGTCAAATAAATAAATAAAATCTTTAAAAAAAAATAAAAAAAATCATAGAAGAACAAAAAGGTAGAATTGGGGCCTTTCAAGAGGATTTGCTGTGGGTTGCCTGGTTGGCTCAGTTGGTAGAGCATGTGACTCTTGATCTTGGGGTTATGAGTTTGATCCTCGTGTTGGATATGTAGATTACTTTAAAAAAACATTTTTTTTTTAAAAGGATGCAATATGGTTGAGTGAGAAAATGTTTATCACAGTGTCAAATTTAAAATACAGTTTTTTTAACTATTAGAATGTTTAAGTATCAAAGTATTAAGTATCAACTGATTCAGTAAATCAGTATCTAATAACTAATCAAGTGTCAAACCTTTAAATATTAAATAAAAATTGTAAGTATTTCTGCACTGAAACAACTTCATGCACACAGACATTACACACATACATGTATGTCTTTTAGAGTGTCTCAAGCACATTCACATTGGTTATCTTTTGTGATACCAATTTTGTGAGATTCTGTAGAGCCGCAGTGGGGCCGAAGTGGGCTCAGAGGAGGCTCAACATTCTTCCCCCTCACTTACTGGAAGCAACATCCTGTGAGCTGAGGAAATGAACTCAGGGGGTTAAGGTCCCAATGTGAGCAAATGTCCAGTCGAGAGCAAGACCCCAGGTCTGCTTTCTGGTCCAGACTTCTCTACATCACTGCACTGAGACCACGGAGGATGAGGTCAAATGCAGCAGGAGGAATCATAAGGCGTCATCTGTCTCCCTAATGTCCTGGGCTCCTAGAAATTCAGTTCAGACTCCAGACAGACTTTACCTTTGAACTGCAGACAAGGAACTCACTTGTGATTTGAGGAAGCAAAGGGTCCGCACACCTGGGGAGTGAATAGGAGACGTCAAAATTTGCAAGTTGGCACAACTGGTCATTCCTCAAAATTAAGCAGAAGTAATTAAGGGAAAGAAGAATTTCCAAAGCCGATTGAATGAACAAGCTTAGATAAGATGGAACAGTAAAAATGTCACAATTCTATGTGTCTTATAAAAATAAAAAACAACTGTAGTACAAATTTCCCATTCTTTAGCATGCTTGGATAAATTAGCTACAACACCATCAAAGTTCAGGGGTGGCCCGTTCAAGGTGAAAATGAGATAAGAATGTTTACGTTTTGTGAGAAAGTAGAAATTCAGTTCAAGTAGGCGCACGAAGATGTGTGGTTCAAAGTCACCTATAAAAAATGACCAGTGAAAATGCCTAAATGCTAAGCAATAGTTAAGTGGTTAAGTAGTTTATAGCAAATCAATGTGATAGGCTATTGCATAGGCATTTTTAAAATATAAGACTTAAAGTTTGCAAAAAGCATTGTGATATGTTAAGTGAGGAAAGCAAAATTCTAGACAATATGGGCATTCTAATTGCCATTATATAAAATAGGCACTCGTGCAAACAAGAATCTGGAAGGCAGCATACTGAAAACACAGTTGTGTTCAGCTGATAAGAGGGTGAGTGGTGGTGTGGGGGTTAGAGGTGATGGAGGATTTGGACTGGGCTCAGAAGGAGGCTCAAGATTCTTCCCCCTCACTTATTGGAAGCAACATCTTGGGCAAGTTCCCTCATCTGCAAAGTAGAGATAATAGAAGACAGACATATTATGGTCCTCATCTTTGTTTGTGGAACATTCAGCCTGGCAGTTAAGACAGAAAAAAGTAAAGAAAAAAATATATAAAATAAGTTATATAAAGAAACATCAAATTGCAGAGAGATAGAATGGGGAATCAAGCATTGACTGAGCAACTTGGGAAGGTTTTACTGAGGTTGGTCCCAAAGATTGAATGGGCTAGGGTGCCTGGGTGGCACAGTGGGTTCAGCGGCCGAGTCCTGATCTCAGGGTCCTGGGATTGAGCCCCCTGTGGAGCCCCCTGTCAGGACTCATGCTCAGCGGGGAGTCTGCTTCTCTTTCTGCCTCTACCTGCCTCTCTGCCTGCTTGTGTGCTCTCTCTCCCTCTTTCTGTCTCTGTCAAATAAATAAATAAATAGATAGATAGATAAAAAAAATATTAAAAAAAAAAGATTGAATGGGTCAATGTACTTAAATCACCAGCACTTTGCCTAGCTCATGTTAAATGCTCAATAAAGATGAATTATTTCAATTTTTTTCTAATACTATTATATTTTTCAATTAAAAGGAAAAAAGCTCTATTATGAACATTTTCAGAATGAGAGCTCAGAAAGAGTGGGATGGGCTAGATCAGAGCTTTTCAAAACCACTTGAGGAATACTGTTGAAATGCAGATGCTCATGCAGTAGGTCTGAGGTTGGAGATTTTAGTTTCTGTATTCTTGAAAGCTCCCAGGTGATGTTGATCTGCTGGTAGGCAGAGCACACTTTGAGCAGTAAATTGCTGGTTCACTTGTCCTTGATCTTGCCTGCAAAATGGAATTGATGGAGTTTTTAAAAATATGCTGGTTCATACTCCCCAGAGATTCTGATTCAATTGGTGCAGTCTTGATATCTAGATATTTTAAGGCTCTCCAGGTAATCCTAATCTCCTGGAACAAAATTTGAGAAACCCTGAGCTAGATTTGACCCACTTTGGCATGAAAGGCAATCCTGGTCTGATTATTGGTGGCTGGGCCCACTGGAGGATGGTCCCAGGCAAGAGGAGGAAGCCTGGCCTGGCAAGTGTTTTTTCTGCTTGGCCTGATATCCACATAGCAGAGACCCAGCCATGATGTCCAGAATATGGGGCAGGACTGTTTCTCGGGAGGCTTGCTATAAGCCCGACTGTCCTTTAGCTCTAAAGGAATTGAGGTTCCAGGCAGGGACTTGGGCCCAGGAGCATCATGCCAGGATCCAGGAAGTAGGCCTGGAATACAGAGCTGGGAGCTTGGTTCCAAGGAAAGAGGTGAGAGGTCAGTTACTAAAATTGGGTTATGGTGTCAGAGTCTGATCCAGGACAAAGCTAAAGAGGCTGAGTACAAGCTAAGCTCCTTAAGGGTCCATGGCAAGAGATAAGGTGATCAGGAGACTCAGCCTTAGGCATGGTTGAGATGTGGCAGGACAAGGAGACAAAGGAGGCAAATTAGGAGTAGTAGGCAGAATAGTGGCGCCCCAAAGATGTGCACATGCTAATGGTGGGAACCTGGGAATACGTTACATTATATGACAAAATGGACTTCATAGATGTGATTAAATAAGGATTTTTTTCATAACTATTTATATGTCTTCATTCATAGTCCCAAACTAGAACCAAGCCATGTGATGTGTCTGTCAATAGAATGGATTTCAAAACTGTGGTATATTTTACAATGGAATATTACTTGGCAATAAAACAGAATGAACCACTGACTCACACAACAGGAATGAATTTCAAAAACATTATGTTAAGTGAAAGGAGTCAGACACAAGAGGTATTGTATAATTCCATTTATGTGAAGTGTAGCAACAGGCAAAACTAGTCAAAGGAAAACAGTGGCTGCCTATGGAGAGCGTGAACGTTGACTGGAAGGGGACAGAAGGGAAGCTGGGGTAAAAGAAATGTTTTGTGTCCTGAATGGGGTGTTTGCTGCATGGGTTTAAACATTTACCAAGGGGCGCCTGGGTGGCTCTGTCGTTAAGCGTCTGCCTTCGGCTCAGGTCATGATCCCAGGGTCCTGGGATCGAGCCCCGCATCGGGCTCCCTGCTCTGCGGGAAGCCTGCTTCTCCCTCTCCCACTCCCCCTGCTTG